GGGGGCACAATTTCTGATTATTTTATTTTATCATTCTTTGTTAAAATTAACAGAATCGCATAATTTCACAATTTTGGGGGGCTCAGTTTGCGTAATTTCAGAATTAATTTTTCTTTGGCATAAAACAACGGGGACAGCGGCTCACGCAGGAGACCCGACTTCGATTCCCGAGTGGGGAGAAAATGTGAGGCAGCGTGGTGGAATCAGGCTCTCGTCAAAATAATCAAAATGAAGAAACTTGCATTTTTCAGCAGATTTTGAAGTTTTTAGCAATTTTTTTTATTTTTAACTCAACGCCTTTCACGCCCATTAAAGAACTCATTCCTGTGTGGATTTTTCTGAAAAACGTTGATTAACGGATAAAAAAATCTAAATTTTCAGTCACCACGGACTCTTTAGCTAAAGAAATAACTAATTTTTGGCGGACATTTTCTCACTAATTTTACCTCCGAAAACATGTGACCCCACCTCATTCTTTCGCAAATATCTCGACTTGTATTCAAGACAAATGGATATTTTTTTCATCCAAATAAAGACAAGTAGACAAGCTTTAAGATGATACCAATAACTCTACATGCCCAAAAATTGACGAGAGCCGGATTCCACCACGCTGCCTCACAAATGTTTCTCGAATATCTCGGGTCTTTCTGCTGGAGCCTCCCAAAGCCCAACCCCAGCCAGGTCCACGTCCCGGGAGGTATCACATCCAACACCAAAGAATCAAATGGTTCGGACATCTCCTACGATTACCAACACACCATCCAGCACAACGTGCCTACATCAAAAAAAATTCGATGGCAACAAGGCTAGAGGGCAACCGAGAAAGACCTGGATAGATGGAGTCAGGGAAAAATTAACCACCCACGGCATCCCCCTGACCCAAGCTCTCCGGCTGGCGACAGAGAGACGTCTCTTTCTTCCCGCGACACCCAAAAGAGTATAAGCGGCGGATAAAAGTAAAAGTAAAGTAACGTTTCTGCTGCAATGCTGTATCCTTCTCAGCCCGGGTTGGCCCTCGTAGGCAGGCAGGGTTGGAAGCCCGCCTCCTAAATGATCGAAATTGAGTCGATGGGGACGTAAAATTATCTAGAGCTCTCTCTCTCTCTCTATCTCTCTCTCTCTCTCTCTCTCTCTCTCTCTCTCTCTCTCTCTCTCTCTCTCTCTCTCTGTCCCTGTGCCCACCCCTGTGGTGGATATGGGACACCGGGGTGCTGACAGTGAGTGCGATAAGAAGACAGCTTTGTCCGGTTCGATTATGGCCCTTGCTTTGTTGAAGTGAGACGTTCTTGCTTAGTTCCGTGTTTGGAATGGGTGGTGCTGGTGGTGACGGCGTGTGTGTGTGTGTGTGTGTGTGTGTGTGTGTGTGT